TATTAATGTATTCATTGACTATTTCTTTTATGTGCCCCAATTGGGGGTCACACACCCAATGTCAGAATATCAGTAGTGTTTCGGATTTCTTCGGCAACACTCCCAGAAGTCATGAGGCAGTTTCATTATTAACTCCATACTGTTTTCCACTGTGACTGCACCAATCTGCATTCCCACCAACAGTGCATGAGGGTTTCCTTTTCTACACTTTGTCACCAACACTTATTGATAATAGCCACATCAACAGATGAAGTGATCTCTCATTGTGGTTTCAACTTAAATTTCTTTGATAATTAGTAAAGTTGAGCATCTTTTCATTAGGTCTATTGTCTATTTGTATGTCTTCTATGGAGAAGTTATTAAGAACCTTAGCTCATTTTTTAATTGGGCTTTTTTTTTATCTACTTTTTTTATTATTGATTTTTTTACAGAGAGAAATGGAGAGGGATAGAAATCTAGAAACATCAATGAGAGAAACATCCACCAGCTACCTCCTGCACACCCCTACTGGGGATGTGCCCGCAACCAATGTACATGCCCTTGATCAGAATCGAACCTGGGACCTTTCAGTCCACAGACCGAAGCTCTATACACTGAGTCAAACCAGTTTTGGCTTAATTGGACTTTTTTTTGGAATTACGTAACTTCTTAAATTTTTCGGATTTTAACCACTTATCAAATATATCATTGGTGAATGTTTTCACATTTAATGTGTTGTCTTTTTGGAAACAGTTTTCTTTGCTGTGCAAAAACTGTTTGATGTAGTCACATTTCTTTTGTTTTCCTTGCATGAGGAGATATACCAGAAAAAAACATTGCTATGAGAGTTTAATTCCTTTTTATTCTTGTGTATAAGGTAGTTTACTTTTTTGCATCTATCTGTCCAGTTTTCCCAACACCATTTATTGAATACTCTTCACCCATTTTGTTACCTTGTTAAATATTAATTTCCTTGGGAAATTTATGAGGTTTTATTTATGAGTTCTAAATAATTCCGTTTTCATGCCAGTATTATGCAGTTTTGAGTACTACGGTCTTATAGTATTGTCTGATATCAGGTAGCATGATTCCTCCAACTTTGTTCTTTTTTAAGATTCTTGTGGCTATTTGGGGTCTTTTATGGTGCCATATAAAATTTTGGAATATTTAAGTTCTGTAAAATATGCCATTGATATCTTGATAGCAATTGCATTGAATCTATAGAATGCTTTTGTTACTATAAACATTTTAATGATGTTAATTCTACTGATGAACATGGTATGTACTTCCATTTATTGTTTCTTCTGCAATTTCTTCAGTGTTTTTTAATTTTCTAAGTATAGATCTTTTACATCCTTAGTTAAAATTATTGCCAAGTAATCCAGAATCCAACCATGACCTCATGGTTCATAGGAGGACACTCAACAAATAAGCCATGCAGGCTAGGCTAAAAAATATAAATATATAAATATGTATAAATATTTTAATATATTTATATTGATTTCAGAGAGAAAAGGGAGAAGACATGGAAACATCAATGATGGGAGAGAATCACTGATCAGCATGCAGCGGGCATGTGCCCTTGACTACAATAGAACCGAGGATCTTCGTCCATAGGCCAACGCTCTATCCACTAAGAAAACCAGGTAGGGTTAAATATATATATATATATATATATATATATATATATATATATATATATATATATATATATATTTACATATATTTATTTAACCCTATATATATATATATTTAAATATTAACTATTAAGTAATCAAAGAATAATTATAACAGCCAAATCAACATTAATTAAAGGCAATTCTAAATGGTTTATAAAATTTAAGTATTTCAAAAATTAATGTTGACTTTTTGGCAATCACGAAAGACTAATTATCCATTTAATTATGTTAATTCCTAAAACACCACAGTAACTGTCAAAGTGATTTTTTAAAATATATTGATATATTTTATTGATTTTTCACAGAGAAGGGAAATGAATAGAGAGCTAGAAACATCAATGAGAGAGATACATCGACTAGCTGCCTCCTGCACCCCCCCGACTGGGGATGTGCCTTCAACCAAGGTACATGCCCTTGACCAGAATTGAACTCGGGACCATTGAATCCACAGGCCGACACTCTATCAATGAGCCAAACTGGTTTTGGCAAGGCATTTTTTTAAAAGACATACACATGACTAACAGACATGTGAAAAGATTTCACTATCACTTATTATTAGGGTAATGCAAGAACACCTCAAATCTCTTAGAATGATTATCAAAAAGACAAGAAAAGTATTAGAGAGGATGTAGAGGAAAATGTATCCTCATACACTGATGGTGGGAATGTAAATATGGAAAACAGTACAGAAGTTCTTCTAATATCTAATAGAACTACTATATGATCCAGCAATTCTTCCTTTGGGTATTTACCTAAAAATTATAAAAACACTAATTCATAAAGAGTAGGCTGCCATCTTTGTGAAAGAGTGACAGTTACATTTGCATAATTCTGCCAGGTCATTCATGCTGCCCGCACTCAGCGGCTGCACTGCTGGGATTGGGGGACTCTGGCAGGGCTGAGAAGAGTGGGCTGCCATCTTTGTGACAAGTTACATTTGCATAATTACCTTTCTATTAGGATATTTAAGACAAATACAACACATGTATTTATGAGTGGGGAAGTGACATGATGTGTGTATACACACACACAAACACCAGGTGTACTAATAAATAATGTAGATTTTTATTTTAATAGATGGAGTTATACATGTTGACATATATGCCATTTGATATGTATAATATGATAGTTTGTTGTATTGATAGCAAGCTTCAAAACTTCAAGTCAAATTTTCTGAAGGGGTTAATACCATATTTTGATGCTTCTAAGTGTCGAATTAAGTGCTAAAAGAAGAGCATTTGCGGGGAGTTTTATTTCATTATTTCATTTTGATGTGTTGCTAAAAGTTATATACTTTGAAAGCTTATGGTGAACATGCTCCACTTCAAAGATACTTGTGAACGTTGGTTTAAACTCTTTAAAAGTGATGATTTCGATGGGAAAGACAAAGAACATCCAGGTCAACCGATAGCTTGAAAACCAACAATTACAAGCATTATTGGATGAAGATGTGTGCCAAACTAAAAAACTTGCAAAAAGATTAAACATTGTTCAGACAACAATTTCTGATCTTCTTCCAAACAGTAAAGATTTCAAAGGAAGGAAAATGGGTGCCACAAGTACTGAAGGAAAGACAAGTGGAAAAAGTCATCAGTAAAATGTTGCTTCAAAGCAAGTCTTTTTTGCATTGAATTGTGATTGGCGATGAAAAGTGGATTTTGAGAATCCCAAAAGTGCACAGTCATGTGTTGATCCAGTCAACCATCAACAGTGACTGCAAGGCCAAATCACTTCAGAAAGAAGACAATGCTTTGCTTTTGGTGGGATAAGGAAGGTGTGGTGAAACTGTTAATACTGATCAGTACCAATAACAATTAATTTGAACCATGCTTTAATAGTAAAATGACCAGAATGAGCTAAAAGACTCTGCAAAGTGATTTTCATCCTCACACACTTCAAAATCAGTTAAAGACCTACTAAAATATCTTGCCTGGGAAGTATTAAACCACCCACCATATTCACCAGACCTTGCTCCTTCAGATTACCATTTGTTCCAATGGATGAAACACAGATTTTCTGAGCAGCACTTCAAAATGTATGAAGAAAATGAAAATTGGATCTCTGAATGGTTTGCCACAAAACAAGAAAAACTTATTAAAGTTTTTAAATTTATCTACCAATTACCTGAAAGATGGAAAAAATATGTAGCTAGTGACAGACACTGCTCTAAATAAAGCATTTTTTGTCTGTCTTGTATACTTTGATTGTAAATTCCACATTATTACTGATACACCTGGTATATACATGGACCACTCAGAAATAATATAAATTAAATATTGCAATTTGTGACAACACAGATGGGTCTTGAGTATTGTTATTTGCCCTAGCTGGTTTTGGCGTAGTGGATAGAGTCAGCAGGTGGACTGAAGGGTCCCAGGTTCAATTCCAGTCAAGGACACATGTCTGAATTGCAGGCTTGGTGCCCAGTAGAGGGCATGCAAGAGGCAGATCAGTGATATTCTCATCATTGAAGTTTCTATCACTCTCTCCCCCTCTTCTGAAATCAATGTTTTTGAAAAAGAAAATATGAAATGTACATTAGTAAGCACTGTTACTTTAATAAGTTAAAATTTTAAAAATAAAACACCTTCCTAATAGTAGTGTCCTATCAAAAAGGTAGGAAATCAAACACAAATCAATCCATTTTGATTTCAATTGTTTTTTTTAAAGTTTATTTCGAGTATAAAACGTAATGTTTCAGTATCAAAAATTCTGTCAGTTTACTAAGTATAAAAGAAGACTTCTGACAATAAAAGTTAACAATTAGGTATAAAATACTTAGGAATATACTTTTGACATTCAGACAGCACTTTTGAAAACTAAATTCTGCCAGTTACGTTTTAGAAACAAAAATATGAAATCTCATCTAAAATCACCAAGTCCTTAACTGAAGAATATTTCGCCTCAGAAAAGGAAAGTTAGCATTTCAAAGTAAGATTTTTAGAACTCCTTTTAAAATAATGGTATACTTGGCTCAATAATTTTGAAATTCAATGCCTTATGGTTTCCCTGAAAATAGCATTTACTTTTGTCTGTTAGCCACAAATAAGGTTCTCAATGACATATATAACAAGTCTTAACCAACACTGACTGAGGCATTTATCACAGAAATTATGTATATTTACAACAAAATATTCTGAACAGGAAATAAAAAATTTCTAATGACAGTGACAAAATCGTAAGAATTAAAGTCTCAGAATTCTTTTAAAGGACTGCTACCAAGGCTTTTGCTTCTCTTCTCCAGATACATCTTCTTGTAGGTTTGAAATATTGCTTTTGAATCCTTTACTGGGTTTTTTAGGGTCTCAAGTCCATCTGCACTGAAGGTTCTGTTGATGTTTCTTGAATTAGCCAAGACATTGTCATCTACAGAAACAGAAATTTCATTTTACTTTATTATTTTCTTAAAGTTAGTGAGCAAAACAGAGAAATTACAGAATCTTCTCCGGTATAAAAAATTAGGACAAGGAGTAAAAACTTGATGAACTATGGCTTTTCTCAATCAAATTAAACACACAACTTCTTTCTTGCCTGTCCTTTCGGTTGTTTTCTACTCAGTCCTTCTCTCCTGCCTAAGGGAAAGCTGTTCTGCTTTTTCCCTCAATCAATAAAAATCTCACTTGACATTTGAACACAATTGTGTAGTCTTCCATTTAAACAGAAGAAACATCAGCCAATTCGTTTTTAAAATTCTGGCTTAGGCATTCTAAAACATGCCCATACATTTACTACAAACTGTTTCAGTGCTGTATTAACCTCACTACTCCTTTAAATTGTGGGGCCAGCTTTTCACGTGCACTTCTTGATGAGCCTCTTTATTTCACTGTGGGTTCCCAAGATGCAGAATTCCAATACTTTTCTTCCCTGTTCCAGCCTTCCCTTTCCACAAGGTAGGTTTTACGTTCTGCCTGGGTGGATCTGTCATCTCGTTCTTCTCTGCCCTCGTTTTCACGAGGAAAGGAATGCTGCTGTCTTAGGGGAACCTCAGCTGTTGCTTTCCATTGTCGTCAGTCACTTCCTCTTCTACAATACCCGGGACTCGAATTCTTTGTAAGTAGCTCCAACCACACACGGAACATTTATACCTAAATTAGGTATATAATCCTTTAAAAAGGTTCAAGTACTTTGGGAGTCATTAGCATTTCTCACATCACACAGGTTCACAATGTCCAGTTGCTCTCTCTCCTCTCACGAAGTGTCAGCAGACTTGGACAGAGCTCTACAACTTGTATTAACTGGGCCTTCCCTCGCCATTTAAATATCAATAGATCACTGTTACCCTCTCCACATACGATGGATAAATTAGGAGAACAATCTTCCGACCACTCATTTGTGCAGCTACAGATCTCCCAAGCTTCTTCTCTGGTTTATGTTTTAGGTATTTATTTATGATTCTAGGTATTTGTGTTTCACTGTTTATTGCTCATCCTGTTTTGTGGTTGTTTTTATCCCTGTAATTTACCACCTGTCTAAACATCAATTGTCAACCCATACATGTATTCATCTTATATTTTCTTGTTCAGATTTCAAGTATGGCTCTCTCCTTCTCTTTAGAGTAATACCTGAGTCTGCCGTTTCAATGGCCCTTTTTTGCTTTCATTTACATGCTCATTTCTTTCACTTATTTTTACTTCGTGTTTCAATTTCAAAAAAAAAAAATTTTTTTTTAAACTTGTGTCCTCTTTTCTGGTTGTTTTCATGTTCTGATTAATAAGAGTTCACCTCTCCTTTGATTCAATTTGAGCATTTTTCCTATTTGCACTTTCAATGTGTATGGCTCAATTTGAGTATTTGTGCTTTCAGCTGTTTTCTCCACTTATTCCTCTTTTATGAAAATGTGCTCTCCTTTCTTGTTGCTTCTGGTAAAATTGTTTTCTTGTTTTCAACTGACTAAACTATTGTCTTGACACTCAATAAATCTAAACTTAAATAAAACTCCAGAACCCAAGTTTCTAGTTGTTAATGCAAAACCCTAAAAATCAACTAGATTCATTCAACCACTTAAAACTGATTGCTAAAAGCAATGGTATTTGTGGTTGGTCCTCAGCTCAAATACCTCCGCAGATAGAAAAATCAGCAAAGACACAATATGAAAATAACTCAATTTCCCTCTTGGGAAAGAGATCACTGCTACCTTCCTCCCCATATCTTTCTACTACTGATAAACACATACACCAAATCTTGTTTTTATTTTTTCAGGATACAAAGTTTATTCAATGTCTAGCACAGACTGGCCAAACTGCCTTCAACAACATGAACAGAAAGCCTGGGGAATAGGCAAAGTTGTTATAAAAATAACTTTAATTCAGTTCTTTCCACATTAGAAGTCATCAGGCAGGCCATGGAATGTGCCATATTCCCTCCACATTAACAATACTGATCCTGTAATTAGCTATTATCAAAATACACTTGTGTCTCTAAAAAAAACCACTACATACGGAATATCACTTCTGACATGTATAAAAACATTTAAATATTTTTAACCTTGTCCCCCCACCATACACGTAAGCTCAGAGTTCCGGGCATTAAAAAGAGAGGCCAGTCCAGCCAGGATGAAGTCTGCTCTGTGCAGAGAGAAGCCCCTAGGACTCATGAATGCAGAACTTCACAAGAAAGGGCCATTGTCCCACCTTAAGGGGCAGATCAGAAAAAAAAAAGAGAGAGAGAGAGAGAGACAGAGAGAGAGAGACAGAGAGAGAGAGAGAAAACATTGATCCAAATCTGCATGAAAAGAAAAATCATGCAAGTATGAAGCAGCCTTGTCCTCCGAGAGGACAGGTTAGGTGTAAGGAATCTGGACCCAGAGGTCTCAAGTCTGGGCTTTCTAGAAAGAACCCAAGCTTTTCAGTGGCCCCCACTGTGTCTACCCTGGAAACTAGATTCTGCCTTGCAACTTAACTCCAAGGAATAAAAGGTACATTACAAAACGTCATATAAGGAGAAAATATAGATTATTCAGATGCCATTTTTATTATCTTGCTATATAAAAAGTTATTCCCTCTTTCTTTTATATAAAGTGAATACTAGAATATTTGGTCAATTGGAAATATTGCTAGGAGCAGGTGTCTGCAATTGCATCAAAGGACAATTCAGAAATTTATGATGAAACAAAGCTCCATGCTAAAGCAGCACCAGGAACACACCTCAGGTTCTCATCACAGGAGGGACATCTAAGTCAGGGGTGAGGAGAATGACACACTTGATAAAACAGAAGAATGAAATGTGGGCACATCCTATACCTGGCAGCCTCTTGCCATATCAGGTACATGATCCCTGAGGAAGTCCCCGAACCCCTGAGCATTAACACCACCAAGAGAGCCCTGCCAAAGCCGTGCATTTTAAGACACAAAAAGGCAGAGTGGGGTTTGTGAATGCCCACTGCACAGGCTGCACAAGGCACAAGCAAGGGGCACCAGGGAGGAGGAGGTATCCTGTGTACCCATCACCAAAAACCTGAGGCCGGCACCCCATCTCCACAAGGTGAACAAGGTGAATTATATTTTAAAAAAAACAGGTAAACTCATTTCTCTTAGAAAACTAATAATCTCTGGTATTTTAAAAGTCATTTCAACAGCTTTTAAAATGGCTCTTTTCTGGAATGATGAGGTATTTTGGAAAAGGTCACCCACAGGTGCTGGTTCTTTCCCAGCTTGTAGTAGTGCAGGTCAATGAGCGCCTCGATGGCCTGTTCCACTGAACCCATCTTGATCAGCGCCATGTCCCTGTGCTTCCTGAAGAACTTTATCCTTCTGACAAACCTGCCGTTGCTGGAGAATAGGGCCCAGAGGTCATGCACAGAGGTGAAGCGCGGTATGTGGGAGACGTACAGGCACTCTGAGGGTGGGAAAACCTTCTGGTCCTTCTTGGAGCAGGATTTCCTGAAGCGGTGCAGGTGTGAGTTACTGTAGTCTTTGGTGAGGTCCAGGTCTGCCTGGCCCTCACGGAGCAGATGCACGTCTTTGTGCCGGGTGACGGTGATGAGCATACGCCGTCCATACAGCTTCTGCCCACTGAGGTGGCTCATGGCCAGCTGGGCCTGGATGCCATCTGCCATTTGCACCAGAGCTCGTGTCTTATTCTTAAAGAAAATCTTCGCCCGCTGCACATTGCCATACACGCCGAAAATAATGAAGAGGCTTTGGATTTTGATTCTCTTGGGGTTGAGGTTTTTGACCAGCAGGACACAATTTCCAGCCCCTGCTGGGCTGGTGGTGGCAATCAGGCTGCCTGCTGCTGATGCTGATGCTGCTGGGGCTGCTGCAGCTGCCACTGACACCAATGGTGATGGGCCTTGGGTGGCAGCTACTGCTGCTGCTACCCCTGGGATGGTCACAGATGCTGGGCCTGGGATGGCAATCGGGCCTCCTGCTGCTGCCTCTGACACCAACGGGACAGCAACAGGGACTAGGCTTGGGATGGCAATCTGGCCTGCTTCTGCTTCTGGCTCTGACACTGACGGAATGGCCACAGATACCAGATCTGGGACCGCAATCTGGCCTTCTGCTTCTGCTGCTGCCCCTGACACCGGCGCAACTGCCACAGGAGGCAGGGCCTGGAGCTCATTGGGATAACAATGGCCAGCAGCTTGAGGAATGAAAAGTGTAGAATGGAAACCAGCTCGTGATTGCAGAGGGACAGACATTACAGGAGCAGCACTGAAGGCCGAGGCCATGGCTTGGTCCTGTGAGACCTGGCTGTCACACCAGGGCAGGTCAGGATAGGTGTAGACTCGGCTCTTGCTGTCGTTGTACTTCACATTAAGGATGGAAGAGGAGGATAAGCTGATGTGAACTGTGCAACCGAAGATGTTCCAACTGTCCAGAAACACCTTTGCAAGCTCAGCACTCAACGGCTCAGCATACTGCAGCAATGCCTGGAATGTGTTGTTCTGGGTGAAAGTGATGATTTTTAAAACTTTGCCAAAATGGGAGAAGATCTGGTGAAGCATGTCCAGGGACAATGGGTGGGAGAGGTTCTCTATGATAATCTGTATTACTGGGCACTGGGAAGTCATCTCCATACCTGTATCCACAGCAGCTGCACTCACAGGGCTTACATTCTCAGTGCCTGAGCATACAACACCCTTGCCCAGAGAGTCTGAGTTCACAGTGTCCGCCCCCACATCCACAGCATGCACAGTGGCGGCATTCACAGTACCCAAAGGACCTGCATCGACAGTGCCTGTACCCACAGCACAAGCTGAGGAAGGCAGAGCAAGTTTCCTGGACTGAACTGAGTTCAGAGCTTGCAAGGCTGACTGGACCTGTGAATGGTTGTATGAGCTGCTGGTATTCAGTTCCTTGCGGTGGGAGAACTGGACACAGATGGGCTGGCCTCGAATCATGGGTATCATAGAGGTATAGTAGTTCACCATGGTGATGGCAGCCTCCTCTGTGTTCATCTCAATGAATGCCTCGTTTTTCGATTTCATCATCAGGAGGTTGGTGACCTTCCCAAAGGGCAGACCTAGAAATAGGACCTCGTCCTCAGTGACACCCCCAGGGAGCTTCCCGATGTAGACCACTCGGGAGGGAACACCTGAATTTTTGTTGTCACCTTTGAACTTCTTACTGTTGTCTTTCATCTTCTTGCTATCACCTTTTAACTTACTGCCATCACCTTTCAACTTTTCGCAATTAAGTTTCAATTTCTCGTTGTCAACCTTAAACTTACTGCCATTGCCTTTCAATTTCTCGTTGTCAGTTTTCCACTTACTGCCATCACTTTTCGACGTCTTGTTATCAATTTTCCACTTCCTGCCATCACCTTTCAACTTCACGTTCTTGTGGTCAAGTTTCAACTTCAATGTCTCGCTGTCAATTTTCAACTTGTCACCATTCGACACCCTGTCATCAACTTTCAATTTCAGCTTCTCCCTATCACCTTTCAACTTCAACTTCTTGCTGTCAATTTTCAACATCCTTTTGTCACCATTCAACTTCTTACTGTCAACTTCCAACATCTTGCTGTCACCTTTTAACTTCAACTTCTTGCTCTCTACTTTCACCTTCACCTTCTCGCTCTCACCTTTAAACTTCTTCCTGTCATTTCCACTTGCTGCGGAAGCTGAGTTAGTAATGCAGGCAGAAGACAGCTCGTCAGGTCCCCGCTTTGTGCCAGCTGCTTTGTCTAGGGCAATGCCATCCATTGCACACAGAAGAGACCCACGGGGGTTGGAGTGCAGGCGCCGGAACGGAACCAACAACGGCTCTGAGTTACAGACTCCTAAATCATTTTTAAATGAATATGAATAAAAACAAAACTTCACAATAGTATCATAAATATAATCCAGCTTATACAATATATGACAGAGTAACAAAAATAAAGAAAAATACTTATTAACTAGTTTATGACCTTACCTATTTCTTGGTTGACTTCTGGAATCCTTTTCTCCTCAGGTACACATTTTATCCAGTCTTCTTTGGAACTTTTTATTCCTGTAACTATTTAAATATTCGTTTTGAGATGTCTAGATATTGTTCTTCACCAATTTTAGTACTACAATGAAGATATATTTAGATGAAGCCTAAAACGTATTATTATATTCATATCATTCTAAAAGGGTTCAAGAACGCTGACAGGGTTCCAAGAACAGAGCATCGGCCATGGACTGAAGGGTTCTGGTTCGATTCCGCTCAAGGGCACATACCTTGGTTGCATGCTCAAAACCCCAGACGCAGTCAGGACAAGTGGGGGAGGCAACCAATGTGTCTCATTCACATGGATTTTTCTCTCTCCTTCGTACCCCTCACTTCAATTCTCTGTAAAAAGCAACGTAAAATATCTTCAGGTAATAATTTTTTTTAAAAGGGAGGGGGTGGCTGAAACCGTTTTTGGCTCAGTGGATAGAGCATAGGCCTGTGGACTGAAAGGTCCCAGGTTCGATTCTGGTCAAGGGCATGTACCTTGGTGGTGGGCACATCCTCAGCAGGGGGTGTGCAAGAGGCAGCTCATCAATGTCATTCTCTCGATGTTTCTAACTCTCTCTCTCTTGCTCTCTGTAAAAAAATCAATAAAATATATTTAAATAATAAATAAAAATAAAAAGGGAGGGGGTGGCACCAGGAAAATACTCTTATTTTTAAGTGCCTAATTTTCTCAAATTTGAAAAACAATTTACTTGGAAAGTTCAGCTTCACTATGCAATTACTTCCACTTGGGTTAAACACCATCACAAGTCAAAGTATTAAAAGATACATGACAGAAACGTAATTCCACTGCCTCCACCAACTTTCAAGATTCACAATAGATCAATGCCTCAAATCCTATGCACATAATTAACAGCATGAAATTAAATCACCCATGGATTTAAAATTGTACTCCTAAGAAAATGTAGCTATAATGCACTTTAACAGATAGTGTCTGAAAAGCAGGAGAAACATTTCCATTCAAATCCTTCAGTTTTTCCATCTGAATTTTTCAGCACAATACTTTTTACTTAATGTTCACAATTCCTAACTAAATGTTTGCACACTACCACAAATCAATAATCATCTATTTTCTCCCTTCCTCCCATACAACATTGAAAATTCCGTAATTCGGTTAACCAATAGTCTTGATGAAAATTCTATTTGTCAGCCTGGGTTTGGTGACCTTCCTGTTTCTACATTCCTCCCTGAACGTTAACACTTTAACTATAGTGACATCTGTCAACAGCTTCAAAGATGGTAAAAGCTACCACTAATGATGACTACATATCTCCTAATATTTAAAACAAAATTTCAAATTCATAAGACTATCATACTGGACCTTGCATAGGGGCTTGCTCAGGACAAGGCGGCAGATCCTTCCGTTCTTCAGTAGAGTTTGTCTTATTAATCAGCCCATCTGGACATAACTTAAACTCCAGCATGCTTTGCTTTTCTGTGGCATTTTTCTCAGGTAAAGGGCTGTTGGGTTTATTTTCCACCTTCCTCTCTTTATTAACATTTTTCGGTAAACTCTCGAGTTTGGTGAGGCAAATGCTCTCTCGTTCAATACATTTAAAGGCAACTCTGTTCAGATACTGTTTCCTTTGCTCCTTTGCTTGGGGAGACAAATGGCTGGGTTCAATTCCATTGTTTATATTGATTGAATTTTTATCTAATTTTGTTTTGTCCAAGAACATTTTATCAGGTTGCTTTCCACCAACTGTTTCTTTAACATTCCCCAAAAGGCATGATTTAGATAAATTAGAATGGTGGATTTTTGTTTTCTTAGCTTGGCTTGAACAAATACTTAATGATTCTTCAGAGGTTTGCACACTGCTACTGTGTAGCTCATTAGATTTCCCACAACTCCCTACTTGCACACTAAGGTTATTTGACCTCACAGATTGAGTCTCACATGGTATACTTTTCTCACAGTTTAATTTTGATGCTTTTACACCCATTGCTTCTTTACGCTTCCGCCTTTGCAAATACTGCTCTAGTGTTATAACTTTAGCAGCTTTAGGCAAACCATCCTTAGACGAAGAGCCTGATGATTTAACATCAGTCTTTTCTTTAATTTTGGCGCGTTCATTGGGGTTCAACAAAATACCCGTTTTCAAAGTAACACCTCCATTTTTATTTTGATCTTGTTTAAAATACTTCATCTTCTTTACCTCTGAATTAAGTATGCTCCCTTCACCTAATTTCCTTTTCACTGAAATTTTTTGCTGACCATCACCTGTTTCCAATTTTCTCTCCTTTGGCAAGAATTCCCGTACAAAAGAATTCTTCTTGATAGGTAAATCTTTACTTTTATTTGTACAGAAAACTGGCTTTGCTTTAGGTAGACTTGAATTTTGTCCTATGATCTTTCTCTGTGAGCCCTCTTCAAAAAACTTTTTCTCACTAGAGTGAAAAGTTACCTCATGAAATTTCAGTTTTCCTTTCTGTATGTGACCTTTTAAGGAATCTAGTTTTTTAACCCCTTTAGATAAAGTTGGACTGGTTAATTCTTGCTCTGTGCTTAGTGAGCTGAATAATGGTTTGGATATATCTTTCATAATCTTGCCTTGTTCGGTTTCAGAATGTTTTTCCTCAATCGGAAAAGTCAGAGCAATCTTTGGATTATTATTTGGAGAAGTCTTATGTACAATGGAATCATCTTTATCAGAGGTAGTCTCTCCTTGCTTACAACTATTGGTCTCCAGAGAACATTGATCTTTCCTGTTTTCAACCTCTGAAGTCAAGTTCTTGATAGAATTACATTGGCATTGGGGAAATCCTTTATAAACATTAGAGAGCCAACCCAATGAACAGCAACGGACATCATCTTTATCATCTTTCTCTGAACCCATTTCAAAATTAGAACCATCTGGATGTACTGGTGAGTCACCCTGGATTTTTGTGACAGGGTTTTCTTTCTCACATTGTGTCAATTTATCAACCTCAGGAGATTCATCATTCTGTTCAGGAAATAATTCTTTCATTTGCTCTGAGTTTAATATTGTAATCTTTATCTGGTCAGATGCAACTTTGGAGTCACAGGTGGTTTTATCACAAGACTCATCTTTTGAGTTTGGGACTGTTATTTGCTGTGCTGGAGAATCTTCATGAGTATTCACAGGTTCAATACCATAGGGAAATTCTTTTGAAAGTTCTGAAAGCTGACTGTGTGGGAAGACGGATGTGTTATCAAGAATCTCATTTACTGCAGGAACCTGGGCAGTGTGACTGCAAGACACATCAATTTCCTGAGGGTTACCGTCCTGGTGAAGAGCAGCTGATGAACACTTATCTATAGCTGAGCTTACTTTAGTATAATGCTTCAAATTGCTTTCCACTGGATTTTCACTGGAGTTGGCATGCTTCAAAAATGATGACTCTGGAGGTTGCGTGGACTTTGATTGATCAGGTATTTTACATGAAACATCTGTGTGCCGTAAAAAATTACCTTCTTGTAATCCAAGCTCTATTTTTTCTGTGATATTGTCTAACTGTCCTGTTTGTTTTTTAGTACTAGTTACTTGGAGATTAGGTAACAATTTCTGTGGTTCAATCTTGTCAATAGGAGGTGGATTGAATATCTTTGCTATTTGATAATTATAAGATGTATCACCTTCAACAAGAGAACATATATTGTCAATCTGTAACAACTCACTACTCAGAGCATCACTGTCTCTTGAGTTAGATAAGGCTTGCTGATCACTCACAGTACAGTGATTATCTGGTTCAGACTCTAATGGAGTTCCTTGATTGGTATTAGGTGCACCTTCTGTTTTACCATTAATTGATGCATTTTGCTTTTCCTTCTGAATTAGAGGGGAAACCTTGGTGGATTTTGTTATATTTGTAACTGGTTCATTCACTTTCGAAACAGTAGTCACTCCTGTGTTTTCTGCCCATTGATTCTGTAAACTACAAACACTGCCTTCTTTAATAACCGGATAGACGGTTTCAGGTAAAGGATCAGGTGATATTCCTTTGTCAGACAATGTTTTGATGCCTGAAATTAAGGGTGACACCACAGCAATCTGAAGTTCTGTTCCCTTTGTAGTAGTTGCACTTGAAGATTCGTAATTTTGCACTACCATTGGCAGAGTTGTAACTTGTGAGCAGTTTTCTATCTTATTGTGAGAATTTTCCACAAGTGAAACTGCAGTTTGATCACAGATTTCTCCAGCTTTCGAGAGTCCAACTGCTGTTCTGTGTGTGTTCAACTCAATACACTGTTTCTTTTCTGTAGGTTTGGAAGGTTGTTTTCTCCACAGATTAAGACAGGTTGCTATCAATTCCAAAGAATGACTATCAGAATTCAGAGTAACTCCAGTTGGGGACGATTTATGGTCAAGGCAAACAGAATTTTCTGAAATCTTGGCATTAATATCACAACAGCTTGGAGTTTCCATAGTTTTCAAGTTCAGTTGGTTATTAGTGATTTGGGTATTGACATTCCTTTCAGAACTGTGTGGTTTAGAGTCCTGAATAGTTCCACAACCATCTTTCATTAACCTTTTCTCAATACCATCTCCATGTGTAAGGAGATTGATAAGTAGCCTATTTTCATTTAAGTATTTTGAAGCATATGACTCAAAGGCCATGGACTGAGGAACTGAAATTGTTTTGGCATTTGTTTGCACATTTTCTTCAACGTTAACTACATTTCCTGATGAAAACTGGGTTTGCTCCATAGGTGGTATATTGAAAGAAGTGCCATCTTTTAAGTTATGTAACTGGTCTGAAACTGGCCCCTTTCCCGAACACTCAGAATTTAGTAAAATGGAATTAACCTGGTATGAATTTCTGAGATTGGTATCTTGAATGTTAGAATTCAATGTACTATGCATTCTATTAGTTTTTTCTATTTCCACTGCTGTTGGTGATTTATCCCCTACAATCTCTGGAGCAGCTGGGGTTACCTGTGGTCCAAACTGGGTTTTGCCAGTTTGTTTCAGTGCAAGTTCAGAATTTTGAGTTGATTCGCTATTAGCTTTAATACAACCTGATGACATTAAAATATTTTTATCAATTTTAACTTTCCTAGCCAGTTCATAAAATTTATTTTTCATTTCTATTAATTTTGCAATATCCTTCACTAACTTTTCTTTTGTGAGACTTGTGTCCGGTACTTGACTTGAAGTAAAATTACAAAACTCTACTCTTTCTTCTTGATTACTTTGAGGAAGAATCTGAACACCATCCACAGAAGATCTAGTGGGGTCATTATAAGGCTGATTGTTATTAATATTTACTTTCACATTACAAAAATTTCCAATCATGCTTTCATTTTCATTGAGGTTTTGCTGTTGAAATCCCCTGCAAAAGTCTTTCCTTATTTCAGAAATATGTGCTTCTTGACCCTGAGGAACGTCACTAGAAGAGTGAGTAATAACATGCTGAGTATTTTGCAAAGTTTGGCTTACATATCTACAGTCATAAGGAGTAGGAAGTCTTTTTTCAGTCTGAAGTACTGCAATTTGATAGGATGGTAAAGGTGAAGTCTGCTTTGACTGTAACGTAAGTGCAGAATTTGAAGGATGACTATTTTTAACTTGTCCTGATGTAAGTGGCATAGGATTTTGTTTCTGAAGAGGACTTTGCAAAAAGCTTTGTGATGGATAATTGTATTGCTCTGAATGTGGTCCATAATCTGCATAAGTCAGTCCATTCGATGTATACTGCTGTGCCCATTCAGCCTGTCGCTCTGATAAAGATGAGGTAAGTCTCTGGTTTCCTTGATAAGTTGCAGGAACTCTTACAGAATTAGAAGGGACCATTTGTCCTTGCATAGGATAGATTTCTGATGATACAAATTGATTCTGTGGTGCATTTACATTTGGTAGATTAGTTCTAAAACTATTTGGTTGAGTAATAGCTGCCCCCGGGTGAGAAAACATAGAATTACTCATTGAAGAGTTTGTCCACACATTTTGTGCAACTCCTGGAGACATTTGTAAACTGTTGTTTAGTTGATTGGGTCCTTTTACATTAGCATGCGTATTTCTTTCCACTGAAGCTTGTGAGGGAAAAATTGTCCTACTATGTATATCAGAAGCAGAAATTTGTTGAGGAGCTGTATTTCTGATGTTGAGGGCTGACTGTGAAACTGGATTTGAGTTACTCGGAAACATGCACGCAGGGTGGTTACTTCTAGGAGGGTTTAAAGATACTTGAGATGGTGCGTTTATTATACTCTGCTCCAAAAAAGATGGCCGTCTTTTGGGATACATTGGTGGTAAGGTGACACTTTTCGGTTTTGCATTCCAATCCATTGTTGATTAATTAGAAGTAGTAGAAGTGTATTAAAAACCAGGTTTTTAAAATGTGAGGAATCTGTAAAAAATAAAAGCCTTTATTAAGCTGTTTGCTTGGACAGAATTTCTTTTAAAATCAGTTTACCTGAATACCAATGCTGGCTATATCTATCATACTTCCTGAATATTCAAATTAGACAAATCCTCATTTTAATTTCCGAAAGAGAAATAGCAAAGTAGGATGCAACAATAAACATGGCAAATGTCACTATTTCTAGGATATTTAACTGGAATTCATCCTACACAGTGGAGTTAATACTTTGTTACATTTAAGTGCTTTTCAAGTATCTCTTTATTCTAAGTAATCCTCATTCATTATTTTAAAGACAGAAAATGTTACTATCACTACTTTCCTTACACTATAAGTGAATATCAGCTGTTACACCTCTTTCAGAAAATTTTGATACACACATCAAAAAACAAAAACAAAAACAAAATACTTAACAACTAGCCCTTGATGCTGTGGCTGCATTGGTTTGAGAGTTTGCCCAATGCAATGAAAGGTTCATTTCAATTCCTGGTCATAGCATATAGAATCAACTTGCAGGTTTGATGCCTACTGATACTTCACAGAGTATTTAATGAGGGGTAGATATGGGAGGCAACCACTTGATGATTCTCTCTCTTTCTAAAAATCAAAACATATTTTTTTAAAAACATAACACTAATATATAAAATGAAGCCTCCTTTTTAAAAAACAAATGGAATCCTACCGAACTGTCTACAATTTGCCTGATTTTCATTACTATACAAAGGATATCTTATCATTTCACTAACATATCTACCTCATTGTTTAAATAACATTCTACTTTATGGATGCACCACCATTTAAACAGTCCTCTATTGACTAACTATAGGTTTACCTCGTAAATTTATTGCACTTTCCTTTATTGCATTACAAATTGAAGAGGCACCATCGTAACCAAACTACATGATAGGAGAATGACAGGTAAAATTAAATTAAACAACCTTGACTTAAACTTATTTATAACCAACAACTTCAGAATGCACATTCTTACCAAGTGCATAAGAATTTTTACCAATATTAATTATATGGCTAGGCCATAAATAAATCTGAACTTTCAAAGAATTAAAAATGATTGAGATTAATTCCGTGGAATTACGCTAGAAATTACAGACCAAAGGTAACTATAAATTCCAAAATAATTGAGAAGTAAAGAATGCTTGATACACTTGAGGTAAAACAGAGACAGAGACAAACAGAGAATGAGTCTGGCATCTCTTATTCTACTTACAAAGACACCAGTCCTTTTGGATTAAGGACCTACCATTGTGACCTCATTTAAATACCACTACATCCCTTAAAGGCCCAACTACAAATACAATCACATTGGATGTTAGGGCTGGGGTTTGGAAACACAATTTAGTTCACAACAGTCTTCTATCATCCCAATGTTCACATAAGACCTTAAGACTGGGGGAGTTTGAGGGTTTGGAAGACATTAATGGGGGGAAAAGGAGTACCTAAGGAATACTTTCAAAAATAAAAAATTTTTGAAAAAGAAAAAAAACAAGACCAAAAGATAATATATAGCATTAAACAGACTAAAAGAAAAAAAAAAAAAAAAAAACCTGAGAAATAATCAAATAATCAAAAGAACTGAGAATAAAGTTTACCAAAGAAATGAGATAAAGACAGTAAAATAAACACACAAAAAAAGTAACAAAAATACTGAGATTCAAGAAACTCAAGTTGATTCTCTAAAAAGAAAAAGAAAATCATTAAGCTCTGACAACACTGACCATGAAAGAGACAACACAGCATTAGGGAAAAAGGCTATCACTAAACCTGGCAACAGTAAAATTATAAATATTTTGCGGTGGGCATTTTCTGTTTTCAGCATCCAGCATGGAAAACGACAGGTTCCTGCGTGGAGGAGCTGGGGATTAAGAAATTAGAGACAAAAAGAAGAGACATGGAGTCAGAAATAGATTCAGCAAGCTGGGCGCTAGGTGGGTGCCATCTCTCTGATGGAGAGGCAGTCACACCCACCAGGCAATATAGCACATTTATTGATTTCCAAAGGGGAAGTTTAAGGTTGAAAGGAGTTTCGGGTGTGCCCAGATCCTATTCATTAGGATCTGGGTAAGTTCCTCATATTTTGGAACAAGATTTAGCATATCAAAGACCTGGGTAAGTCAAGGTCCTATTTCTTCCTCATTCCAAGCACATGGATAAAAGAAATCAGTACTGATAACAGGATTTTGCCAGTGCCCTCGGGCTCAGCTGATAAGAATTAAAAGAATGTCCATGTGCCTTCCCAGACAGCTCTCTACAATATTTACTGTAAGTAACTATATTCCAATACATTCAAAATTTAGGTGAAGACATTCCTTTAAAAACACACTTCACTAGCTGGCATAATACCATTCTTTTAATATTTGTCTTTATTGGAGCATTCTAACAATAATTTATAGAATCATTAATCCAATATACCTCATTTAAAGGAAAAAAAGAGGGGCTATTTTACAGCTGATTTAATAAGTCTGGCATACCAAAAGCTGAAAAGAAAAATTAACCAGCCAATCTCCATCAAAAAGACAACTGTAAAAATCCTAAGAAAAATGTTAGCTAACCATATGAAGTAATATATGAAAGAATGACACATTATGATTAAATGGAGCTTTAGAAACACAAGATTTGCCATTTAAATATTAACCGAAGTAATTACATTACAATAATTTTTTTAAAAAAAAAAGATTACTCCAATTGATAGAAAGAACTTGATAATATATATCTATTTTTTAATATATATTTTATTTATTTATTGTTTTTTATAGAGGGAGAGATGGTGGGTTAGAAACATCGATAAGAAAAAAAAAAAAAAAGAAAGAAACATAAGAGAGAATCATCCATCAGCTGCCTCCTGCACACCTCCTACTGAGGATGTGCCAGCAACCAAGGTACATGCCCTTGACCAGAATCGAACCAGGGACCTTTCAGTCTGCAGGCCAACTGAGCCAAACCGGTTTCGGCTGTACTTGATGATATTAAATATCTATTCATTAAAAGAACAATTACATCAAACCAGGAATAAAAACTTAAATTTTGATAAATGGTGGCTTTAAAATGTTAGACAAAGATGTCACTATTATCCCATAATTGGACCAGAAAGGCTAGAAAGAAAAAGCTGAGAAGAAAAACAAACCTGACTACTCATAGAAGCTACATTGAAAATACAATTGTATATACCTTCTAGACCAGCAATTTTAACTTTTTTCATATCATGGTATACAAACTAAATTACTACAATTCCCAGGCACACACAAAATATTTTTTTTTTCAGATCTGACAAAAATAACAAAGATTTAAGTGTAAGGATAAGCCATATTCATACATTTGAAGATAACTAGGGAGGTTATCTTACAATTTACCTATAAACTAGAGGCCTGATGCACGAGATTCATGCACAGTGGGAGGGAGGGCAGCTCTCAGCCTGGCCTGTGCCCTCTCAGTGCGGGAACCCGGGATCAATCCCCCCCAGAGGTAGGCCAGCCACCCATCTGGGGCTCTTCAATAGATTGCCCCAAAGAGGTAGGCCAGAGCCTACCACCAGAGACGTGGGAACCACTTCTACACCACACACTCAGCATCAAGCCCCCACCTATCTGCATGCATCAAGCCCCACCTACTCAAGCACACCACTGTGCACACAGCCTCCTGGTGATTGTTTTGGCATGAGAGAATCATGACCACAGAAGCTTTTATTAATAGGATTCAATGCAATCCAAGTAAAAACCTCAGTAGATTTTGGTAGAAATTTATAAACTGATTCTAAAATTTACATGGGAATGCAAAAGTCAAGAACAAGAAACTTTTATGTATAGATGTGAATTAGAACAAGATCAGATGACAGAATTGGTTGTAGTTTCTTCACTAAACTCAAGAAAAATAAGATCATGGTCTGAACAAAATATAAGGAGAGCTGAGACCAGTTTGGCTCAATGGATAAAGCGTCGGCTTGGGGACTGAAGGGTCCCGGGTTCGATTTCGGTCAAGGGCATGTACCTTGGTTGTGGGCATATCCCCAGTAGGGGGTGTGCAAGAGGCAGCTGATCGATGACTCTCTCATCGATGTTTCTAACTCTCTATCTCTCTCCCTTCCTCTCTGTACAAAATCAATAAAAAAATATATTCAAAATATAAGGAGAAAAATTTATATATTCTTTACATGTATTTTCCTAATAAAGGTCACTAATAAGATAACTGATTGACCAGGTAGAAGTATAATTCAAAATTAAAAGCAACACTTCTAAAAGTTATTCTCTGAATTTGGGGGTAGTGTGTAATGAAGTGAATTGTGTGTACCTCTAGATACATAACTGAAGGCCTAAACCCCATTGTGATTACATTAGGAGATAGGGCGTTGAGGATAATATTTAATGTTAAATGATTGTTAGGGTAAGTCACTAACCCAACAGGACAAGTGTCCTTTTACGAGAAAACACTAAATGTATGCACATAAAGGAAAGCTGACATGAGGTCACATAGGGAAGATGACTATCCACAAGGAGAGAGACCTCAGGAGAAACCAAACACTGATTTTATGCATCCAGGTTCTGGAACTGAGTCATCCAGACTGTGGTTCTTTTGTTAAGAGCAGCCTAGCAGACTAATACAGATTATATGGGTGTGAAGAGAAATGACCATTATGAATAATCTGGCATATTTTCCCCCTTCTCTCTCCTTGAGGCGACAGAAGACACTTAAGGCCTGAAAAAGGATCCCTGAAATTAGGGGGAAGGAGTTGTTTTCTGACTTTTTTACTGCAGTCTGTAGTTTTGAATACAATGTACTTCCTCTTATACCATTTACATGTAAATGCAAAAAATAGACTTCATCAGAGATAGATTTCCAGTCTATTGTTTTAATTTCTCTTAGAAAAAAAATCATTTTGCCAAAAAATCTCTACCTTGCCTGCATCCCTTATCAAACCCTCAGCTGTTACAGCAGTGGCACTCACCTGAAAAACTCCAGCTATGACTGAACACATGAATCTCCTCTACAAAGGAGCAGAGCAGGTTTTCTGGAAACAAAAAATAAAATCACTTATGCCTTCATAAACATGAACATAAAGATCAAACTCAACATTGATTCTTAACTGGTTTGGCTCAATGGGTACAGACAGCGTTGACCCGTGGACACAATGTCCCAGTTCAATTCCAGTTAAGGGAACATGCCCAGGTTGCAGGTTTGATCCCCAGTAAGAAGTGTGCAGGAGGCAGCCAATCAATGACTCTCATCATTGATGTTTCTATCTTTCTCTTCCTCTCCCTTCCTGATGTCAATAAAAATGGTTTAAAACAAAAACAAAAAACACCTCAGTAATTCTACCTCATTTTATTAAAACTGTATTTACACTGAAAATAATTTTATCCCTAGATGGTTTAGCTCAGTGGATAGTGTGTTGATCTGAGGACTGAAGAGTCCTGAGTTGGAATCCAGGTAGGGACACATGTTGGGGTTTTAAGCTCAAACCCCAGTACAGGATGTGCAGAAGGCAGCCAATCAATGATTCTCATCCTTGAGATTTCTATTTCTCTCCATTTAAAAATGTAAAAATAATAAGTTCAAGAATATGCTGTCTCCAATAGACAGACTTTAGATTCAAAGATACAAGTTGAAATTAAAATGGGAGAATGACTACTGTAAGATAAAACAGCAATAAAACAAAAAATGTTATTAGAGATTACGAGACATTTTATAACCAAACAAGGGTCAAGCCACCAAGAAAATATCACAATTATAAATAAATATGCACCTAACAAGAGCATTAAAACATAAGCAGCAAAAATATAAACAAGGGAGAATTAGTAATTTAGAGTCCAAGACTTCCATTCCACCCTTTGAACAAATTGTCAGGAATAAAATCAAGAAAAATAGACGTTTTGAACACATTATACACTCCTAAATTCACCTTTCCCTTTTCTTATCTCTCCACTCTCCTCACGCCACCACCTGTGGTCCATTAACTTCCCCACTCCCAAGCTCCAAGTGACCTTCCTTTACCCCTACAACTTGTTTCCTAATCCCATTTATTCCAGGAATTACTTTTTCTACCTGTGATTTTATAAATAAATGTTATTTTTTAATAAAAAAAAAAAACAGTAAAAATAAAGCAATACAGTTAATTTTAAGTCGGTGACCTATTGGTGGGTGGCACATAGGTTTAAGGCTCTATCCTATCCAGTGGATACTGTGGGCTGGATACAATAGTTCAAGAAATGTTGTCAACTAGTAAAAGGGTCAGCCAGCAACCCAGTAATGGGAACAGGTGCCATAAAAAATAATGGAATCTTACATTCTGTTGTAGGGAATTCTCCTGGGAACATCCTTGCTTTGACTTAGCTATAGGTAAATTAGTGAACCCTAAATGATAATCATAGATAGTGATTTTACAAAGTTTGGCTCTCTTTATGATGTAATATAATTGTCTTTCTTGAAATATTAATATTTATCGCATGTAACATTATACTTAAAATTGTTTTTCTTTAAATATTCATTTTTATTGCAAATAACATTATATATAAAATTGGGGTTTTTTTGAAATATTAAAGAGTTTGGCTCTACTAACTCCAATTTTCTGACAGTAGGTTTTACAGTTAACAAAGTAATATTAATATGTTAATGCTGATTAGATGTGGCATCCCTCATTGGGAAGCAAGTACTTCTTGCAAATTCAGAGGCATCATTCATACACCTTTTTTTTTTATATATATATTTTATTGATTTTTTTACAAAGAGGAAGGGAGAGAGAGAGCGAGCTAGAAACATCGATGAGAGAGAAACATCGACCAGCCACTTCTTGCACACCCCTTACCGGGGATGCGCCCACAACCAATGTACATGCCCTTGACTGGAATCGAACCTGGGACCTTTCTCTACCACTGAGCCAAACCGGCTTCGGCCACATACTCCTATTCTAAGAGAGAATTCATGGTTATATCCTTTGTGTCATAAAAATGTCTTTAAATTTTTCACTTTAAAAAACCATGCATGCTTAAAATAAACAAGTCTACATTTAGGTCTGACCGTTTCAGAATTTCAAAATTGTATATTATTACTCTTACTTCCTATGAGAAAACTGGCAATAAGCGAGTCACTAAAAGCCATACTAGAAGAAGTTGAGTCCAGCTGGTATGATTCAGAGATTGAGCATCAAATATATGAACTAGGAGGTCAAAGTTCAATTCCCAGTCAGGGCACATGCGAGGGCTAGGGGCTTAATCACCAGTAAGGGGCATGCAGGAAGCAGCCAATGATTCTCTTTCATCATTGACGTTTCTCTCTCCCTCTCCCTTCCTAAAACCCATACACACACGTACATGCATACATATATTATTTTGTCTTCAGAAATTGTGTATACCAAAGTAGGAACTCCAAAATACAAATTTATTTGTGAAGCAGGGGGGGAAAAGTGAATAGCTGCTATAAATTAAGACCTAAATCTACTAAAATCTAATATATGTAGATTTCCCATTTGCTCCAGTAATCCCACTTCTCAGAATATAATTCCAAGAAAACAGTAAGGATGTACTAGATGTACCCATTACTAATGTGGACTTTTTTCAATAGATCTGATATGTATCCTATTTTGTTGTATTGGCAACAAGCTTCAAAACTTCATGTCAAACTTAAGGTATTAGCATCATAAATACTTTACACTAAAATATGTCCTATTTTGTGACAAAAAAAAGAGCATTTGCGGGAAGTTTTAATTCATTACTTTATTTTGAAGAAAAAAAATTACTTTGGGAAGCTTATGGTGAACATCCTCCACCTCACAATACTTATGAACACTGATTTAAACACTTTAAAAGTGATGATTTCAATGTAAAAGACAAAAAAAAGTCCATATCAACAGAAAAAATTTGAAGACCAATTATAAGCATTATTGGATGAAAATGCATGACAAACTCAAAAAACAACTTGCAGAAAGATTAAAAGTTGTTTAGCCAACAATATCCAATTATCTACAAGCAATGGGAAAGACTTTGAAGAAAGGAGAATGGGCTATAGCTGGTAAGGGTCCTAGGTTGATTACAGTCAAGGGCACATGCCTGGGTTGCGGGCTTGATTCCCAGTGTGGGGTGTACAGGAGGCAGCAGATCAATGATTCTCTCTCATTATTGATGTTTGTCTCTCCCTCAACTCTTTGAAATCAATAAATATATATTTTTTAAAATAATAAAATATAATAAAGGAAAATGTGTGCCACATCAACTGAATTAAAGACAAATGGAAACCGAAAAGTCATCAGTAAAATGTCACTTCAACAGCACAAAAAGAAAGTCTTTTTTGCATCAAATTGTGACTGGTGATGAAAAGTGGATTTATCTTAAGAACCCAAATGCATAAAATCATGGGTTGATCCAGGTCAACCATCAACATCAACTGCAAGACTAAATTGCTTTGGAAAGAAGACAATGTTCTGAGTTCCACTTGGTGGGATCAAGAAGGTGTGGTATATTATGAGCTTCTAAAACCAGACGAAACTATTAATACTGATCGCTATCAACAACAAATAATCAATTTGAAACATGCTTTGATCATGAAATGACCAGAATGTGCCAGAAGACACGGCAAAGTAATTTTCCTTCATGATGATGCACCATCACAACACTTCAAAACCAGTTAAAGACACATTAAAAGATCTTGTCTGGGAATTATTAACATACCTGCTGTATTCAGCAGACCTTGCTCCTTATTATCACTTGATCCAATTGATGGCACATGCACTTTTTTAAAAAATTATATTTTATTGATTTTTTTTTTTTTTTTTACAGAGAGGATAAGTTAGAAACATCAATGAGAGAGACATCGATCAGCTGCTTCCAATACACCTCCTCCTGGGGATGTTCCCACAACCAAGGTATGTGCCCTTGACAGGAATGAAACCTGGGACCCTTGAGTCTGCAGGCTCTATCCACTGAGCCAAACCAGTTTCAGCGCCTCATGCACTTTCTGAGCAGCACTTCAAAATGTACAAATTGGAAAATTGGGTCTCTGAATGGTTTGCCTCAAAACAAGAAAAGTCCTATTGGGACGGTATCTACAAATTACCTGAAAGATGTGGGAAATGTGTCGCAAGCAATGGACATTACTTTAAATAAAGCATTTTTGATGTTTCTCTTGAAATTATCATGTTTTCTTTTATTACAAAATCCACATTAACCAATAAACCTAGTATGCACCCCTATGTTCATAGCAGCACAATTTATCAAAGATAAGATTTGGAAACAGCTGAGTGCCCATCAGCAGATAAGTGGATTAGAAAACTGGTACATCTACACAATGGACTATTACGCCACTGTAAAAAGTAATTCTTACCATTTGCAACAGCATGGATGGAGACAGAGCATATGCTAAGCGAAATAAGCCAATCAGAGCAAAATAAATATCACATGATCTCATTCATTTGTGGAATATAATGAATAAAAACGTTGAACATACTGTCCAACCTATGAGGGAAGGGGTAAGAGATCAACCAAAGGACTTGTATGCATGCATATGAACATAACCAATGTACATACACAGTAGGGTGTGGGAGTGGCTGGGAGAAGTCTCAGGGGGAAAAAGAAGATACATGTAATACTTTAAAGAAATACTTTGAATAAATAAGAGACTTATGCCCTAGCAGATTTGGCTCAGTGGATAGTGTCAGGGCCTGCAGACCAAAAGGTCCCAGGCTGGATTCTAGTCAAGGGTAAGTACTTTGGTTGCAGGCTCCTCCCTGGCCCTAGACAGGAGCCTGGTTGGGGATTGTGCAAGAGACAACCAATTATGTTTCTCTCACATAAATGTTTCTCTCAATCTCTCTCCCCCACTCTCCCTTTAAAAAAAAAAAAAAAGAAAGAAAAATATCCTCGGGCGAGGATTAACAACAAAAAAGATCTGTGAAATATTTTCACTTTAAAATATTTTATATGCGTGCAAAGCAAAGGATGTGGTTTAATTGAAAAACTGTCAGCCCAGCAGCTTCCTTTATTTTTAGGTCAGCCTTATTATACAAATTACAAAGCAAAA